CACATATGCGCATGAAGATGTCAGAAGCCATCAAATGTGCACTCTGTCGTAAAATAGAACATCAACCGGTCATGACAGATGCACACACAACTATTTTTAGCACGTACGCACACACATTAACTCTAAATTAAATGTTCAATGACCCTTAAAATCACTTTTCGCCTTTTTTCCGTGTGGACATTGGTTTGATGGTTTCTCTCCCTCTTTCTCCATCTTGTGTGTGTGTGTGTGTGTGTGCCCCTCCGACCTTGCATTTGAGGACTCAAAGACTGGCACAGTCAGTCGATCGATTCGTCGGGCCTGTTGGAGCAATGATAAACCCTGCAGCGTGTGTGTGTGTGTGTGTGTGTGTGTGACACCTACGTTAAGGCTTACCAGAACACAGAAGAGCCCTGAGTTCTGCCTGGCATCCACACACCAGAAAACTCAGACTTGTTTGCCCATTAAGGAGCCGGTGGAAAGAGCTTGATTCTTATCACAGAGACACAGTGTCTGCGAGACCCGTAACCGCTAAAATTAGACAACACACCTTCACACATACTTTGCACATGTCATAAAAAGACACACACAAATATGACCTCAGGCTCCTGAGCACCATCTATTTATTACCTCCCGTATTTGAAATGCTGCTCAACTCATATTCCGGTTTTAAAAGTGTTAATACAATTTGACTGACAGCTGACGAGGTGAAAGGAAATCTGACACATCTATAAAGCCATCAACTCTCTTCCGTCTTATCCACTATTTATTTATTTATTTCAACCCTTCTATCACTCTCTCGCTTTCATTATTTTTCTTTATGGGAATAAAGGGCTCACACACGTTTTTAGCCAATCAAATTCCATTACTTTTTATGATTATAAAAAAAAAAAATCATATTATAGAAATTGCTGGGACAGATTTCTATTCATCGGGTACTTGGAATTAATATATTCAAAGAAATAGATTACCATAAAAGTTAGGGGTCAGTAAGATCTTTTTTTTAAAGAAAAATATCACTTTAATTCAGTAAGGATCAATTAAATTGGTAACACTATGGTTTCATTTGACTTCATTAGTTAATTAGAAAAATATTTCTACAGCATTTATTAATCTCAGTTAATGTTAATCTCAACATTTACTAATACATGATTAAGATCAAAAAGTTGTATCTGTTTATATTATTTAATGGACATGAACTAACAATGAACAGTTGTATATTTATAAATGAATGTTAACAAAGATGAATAAGAACGTAACATATGTATTGCTCATTAGTTAATGCATTAACTAACCTTAACTAATAGAACCTTATTGTAAAGTGTTACCTTTAAATTGATCAAAATTGACAGTAAATACATATATAATGTTATAAAAGATTTCTATTTCAAATAAATGTCATTCTTTTGATCTTTCTAATAGCAATAAGTATCTGTAGGAATAAACTACATATTAAAACATATGTATATTCACAATATTGTGAACATAAAAGAATCGTACTCCAAACTTTTGAGCAGTAATGTGTATTCAAAAATTTGACTGTTTACTTTGTTAGTACACATGGTTTTATTGTGCGTGATTCATTCGTACACACCAGGGTCATACTAACATCCAATTTCATGATCCAATCATTTCCTGGCGGATACAATTGAGCCCGGTCCTACATTTCTATCCAGTTGAATATCCTTTTTGGAGTGATATGAGGTTATAGAACCAAAATTGGTTGCAAATGCAGTTTTCAGTGTACAAATGTGTCAAAAACTCCTGAGATTTGAGTGTTACAATCGGGGATTTGGGAACACCAAACTAAAGTTCTATGACTTTTCCATAACTTTTTGAATCACACTCCCATGCTTTATAGATGAAATGAACTAATTGAATAATTGATGATCTTTACAATGGAACTGAATCAACACTGAACTGACTTCAGCTGAACGAAATGCATAATTTTCCTGTTATCACTGTAAAGATGCTTTGAAAGAATCTGTATTGTATAAAGCGCTATATAAATACAGGTGACTTGCCATGACTTTGCCAGACTGGAAAATAGCTTTAAAATTCCCTTCCATTTACAGGGTTTCCATGACTGTGGGAAGAATAGATTTTAAAAAACATGGCCATTGCGTGTTTTGGGTCTGAGCGCGTTGGGGCATCACTTTCCTGTGTCAAATCTGCTTTCTGAAATGTTGATATCGCCGGGCTTCCGATTGCTCGGCCTCATTCCCTCAGCGCTACTGTGCACTGTTTTAAAAACAACCCCCAGTAACACGACCCGACGCGAGATGCTTCCATCGATAAAGTCACAATCAGCCGAATCCCAGCAGAAGATTGTGAGTTCATTGAAAACCCACTAGGCCTGAACTAAAAACAAACCAAAATAAACGCAGTGATGAAATGCCATCATGCCATCTATTCTAACACTGATTAAAACAATAAACAAGGGCGGATGCTGAAAACACTTTGGGCCCTATCTTGCACCCAGCGCAATTGACTTTGTACACGACGCATGTATCATTCCTATTTTGCACCCGACGCTCGGCGGACTTTTCCCTCCACAGACACACGTCGGTAAATTAGGGAATGAACTTGCGCTCCCGGGGCGGTTCAGCGGGAAGAGGAGGCGTGTTCCGGCGCAAACGTTCCCTGGCGCTATTTTGCAGTTTCAGGAAACAATTCCGCGTTATTCAGACGTTATTTTAAAGGATTAGTTCACTTTAAAAAAACTTTTGCTGATAATTTACTCACCCCCATGTCATCCAAGATGTCCATGTCTTTCTTTCTTCAGTCGAAAAGAAATTAAAGGGTTAGTTCACCCAAAAATTAAAATGCTGTCAGTAATTACTCTCCCTCATGTTGTTCCAACCCCGTAAGACTTTCGTTCATCTTCGGAACACAAATTAAGATATTTTTGATTAAATCTGAGAGCTGGATCACTCCTCCATAGGCTTCTTAAGGGATCGAAACTGGCCGGCCCAAAAGTTTTGAAAGACATCGTTAAAATAGTCCGAGTGACTACAGTGGCTCAATCTCAAGTTTATCAAGCGACGAGAATACTTTTTGTGCGCAAAAAACGAACAAAAATAACGACTTTATTCAACTATTCATTTCCTTCTCTGTGGGCCGTGAGATTTTACGTAGTGTAACAGCGCAGCGCTTCTGTGTTGTACGTCACACGCAGGCTCACTATTGGCCGACGCTGGTCATGTGTGTGATGCGTGGCGTACAACCTAGAAGCTTTGCGTAGTTTCACTACGTGAAATCTCACGGCCGTACAGAGAAGGAAATGAATAGTTGAATAAAGTTGTTATTTTTGTTTGTTTTTTGCGCACAAAAAGTGTTCTCGTCGCTTGATAAACTTAAGATTGGGGCGAGTAGGGCGAGTAATTACTGACAGAATTTTTATTTTTGGGTGAACTATCCCTTTAAGGTTTTTGATGAAAACATTCCAGGATTTTTCTCCATATAATGGACTTCAATGGGGTCCAAACGGTTCAAGGTCCAAATGACAGTTTCAGTGCAGCTTCAAAGGGGTTTAAACGACACCAGACGATGAATAAGGGTCTTATCTAGCGAAACGATCGGTCATTTCAAAAATAAATAAAAAAGTTTAAGTTTTATAAGCACAAATGCTCGCCCTGTTCTGCGATGACTCTGTTCTGTGAGACCTTTTCAACGTAAGTGCGTATTACGTGACGTCACGAACGCGCATACACAGAACAGAGCAAGGCGAGCATTTGTGCTTATAAAACGTAAACTTTTTTATTTATTTTTGAAATGACCGATCGTTTCGCTAGATAAGCGGCACTGAAACTGTCATTTGGACCTTAAACCGTTTGGACCCCATTGAAGTCCATTATATGGAGAAAAATCCAGGAATGTTTTCATCAAAAACCTTAATTTTCTTTTCGTCTGAAGAAAGAAAGACATGGACATCTTGGATGACATGGGGGTGAGTAAATTATCAGCAAAAGTTTTTTTAAAAGTGAACCAATCCTTTAAGGGCGCATGAATATTACCACACGAGGGAAATCATTGTGGTGTCCATGAAGATGTGAAAAAATAGGCATAAATCTAGCTTTCACATTTACCCAAATTATTATACGCCTGTTTAACTGAAGCTAATTTGGGTGGGTTTCTCCTGTCCCCATACAATGTCACTTCTCCGTCTTTAACGCCCCTGACGAGAACGTCGGTCTCCTCGGCTGTGAACCGCTCCTGGCAAATCCGCCATCATAATAGCAATCCGCCATGGAACAAGTGCCTGCTTTTAAAGGGAATGAGAGATGACGCTCTGATTGGTTAATTGCACGTTACGCCCAAACCACACCTATGAGTAATGCAGCTACTTTAGACCATAGATATCCATAATAAAGGCTAGATGTCTTACGGCGGAGTCTCTATCGTCATCACCGGCGGCCATCTTGTCACAGGCAAGGCTCTGTGGTGCCTGATGTAAGATGAGTGATCAGCACGAACACAAATACTCTTATCTCGTTGAAATCTTGACGGATTTACAAACGGTTTGGTTTCTTACAAACGTTATTAACGTGGCTATAATTCTGAATGATTATTTATTTATTGATACACTTATTATTCATAAGTATGCAGTGTCATAACTACATCTCTGACGTTTATAACAAACCAAACCGTTTGAAAATCGGTAGAAAATTGAGCAAGTTATGGTTATTTAAAAAGTACATGCACCATTAAAACACAATGTTACGAGTGAGCGAGCGGCCTGTGGCAAGATGGCCGCCAGGTGCGGACGTCGACCTCCATTGGCCAGCAGCGCAGATGAGACATCTAGCCTTTATTATGGATATCTATGCTTCAGACCAGCACATTTTAGATTTGCGCCCGAGATCCGCCCACAAAGTTACTTGCGTTTCGCGTTTGACACTTGCCTTTCAGGTTGTTAAAATAGAGCCCATGAAGTGCAAGCCTATTCCAAACTAAGGATCTTTTCTACAACTAAAAGTCGCTGGTTTTTCATGTCAAACCACTAACATGCGCTCACTCACCGATGATGAAGTAGTCCTGATTGGTTTTGAATTCGTGGCCCCACAGGTTGGGGGAGTACTCCTGAAACTTGATGGTGAAACGCATGTCACTGCTGGGCTTGTCGCAGGTGAGGAGCAGGTTTGGGGCTCCGGTCACTTCACACCTGTCCGCCTGGTCCCGGGACGACACCAGGTACAGTTTATAGAACTCGTAATCGGCAGGGGCGCGGGGGCCGGGCGGCTCAGACCCGGGGCAAATGAGGTCCAGACGATCCCCGATCTGAGGGTACAGGACATAACCCTTATCATCACTGAACCTGCAGGAGGACAGAGAGGGAAAGAGACAGAACTTAATGGCATGTCATTAGATGCATATCCTTAAAATATGGGTTACACTTTAATTGAATGTCCCTGTTACGGTGTAATTATACATTTAAGTAATATTAATTAACTACATGTACTTACTATAGGGTTAGGGTAGGATTTAGGGCTGGTTGATTGTAAGTGTGCATAATTTCTAGTTATTACTATCGTAAATGCATGTAAGGTCACATTAAAATAAAGTGTTACCAAAATGTGGCATGGCTAAACACAAATAAATAATGAATAATTAAGGTTATACTGTATTTAAAGGTGGCTTAGTTACATTGTACTTAATCCTATAAGTACTAAGTAATATTTATTAACCACATGCACTTGCTATAGAGATTGGGTTGGGGTTTGTTTAGGGTTAGTTGCTTGTAGTTATGCATAAATTACTATCGTAAGTACATGTAGTAACGTGTATCTACCTCACCTTAAATAAAGTGTTACACTAATTAATTATAATAATACAAATTTAAAAAATAAATACCATCCAAATAGTCAAAAACAACAATTCAAAGATGGTGTGATGTAAAATATAAGAAACATTTTTTTTTAAGAAACATTTCATTATTTTTAGCAAAATGTTAATAAAAGACACTTCTGTAAATCATATAAATAAACAAAATAATTGAATTATATAAAAATGTATACAGTAAGGTGTAGTTAATGCATTGACTAATACATTTGTTACAGTATTTATCAATCTTTGTTAATGTTAGTTAATAAAAAACAACTGTTAGTTCATGTTAGCTCAGGTCTATTAAATAATATGAACAGATGCAACTTTGGATTTTGATACGGTATCAGTAAATGTTGAAATTACCGTCAAATACGACTAATTTAGAAGTATTTTTCATTGTTAGTTCATGTTAACTAATGAAACCCTATAGTAAAATGTTACCATTTAAATATATTATATGCATTTTTTAAATGCCAGAGTAAGATATCATTCAAAACTGTGTACACTCACAATTGTGTACAAAAAAACATTGTGCTTTTGTAAAATAAAGAAAACAAACAAGATGCCGCTTTCTGCCCGGTTTCCTTTCTGTGAAGTTTGTGTAAAGTGAATGGAAACTCATAGCATATAGGCTATTAGCCAGCTCCTGTGTGCCATCCGAACTCTTGTTTTGGGTTGGCGCATAGATGGCCGTGACGGTTCGGGACATGTACTGTTACACCCCTAATAAATATATCACATTACAGAAATAAAACGGCTTGCAAACGCACGTCACATTGACTAATCAGCTAAAACTGAGTGTTTAAAACATGATACAAAAATAATGTTGATTTTTTTGTCTTTGTTTGTGGCAGAAATCCGTCCATTATAAGGAGGATGAGCAAAGGAGGCACGGATGCATCACAGTGTACGAATGCCTGCCGCTACGAGCTCTCGCTCCAGGACATGCTCTGGCAGAACCACACGCTCCTCATGGATGTGTCTGAGGGTTTGCTGGCGTTTACTGGAGCAGGTGTGGATATAACCACACTACACCTTCTCTCCGCTTCTTTATCCGATAAATCACCTTCTCTACAAGTACAAACCCATCCTCTTCATATACCCTGCTCGTCTCTCTTCCTGTTTATTCAAAGCCCTAATGCTCTCTTCCGCTGTGTAAATCATCTGAAGGCGCTGTGAGGCTTCCAGGCTTTCCAAGACTCAATTTCCAGAAGTGTGATATTCAATTCTTGTATCTTCAACAAGTGACTCTAATGAGAATGAACTGGCTAGTCTGAATCCAAATCCCACCCCGAGACGCTTGTTTCCAAAGGAAACCGTGTCAGATCAAAGGACTCGTCTAAAGCTTCCCATTTCCAGGAGAATTTGGCCGTTGCAGAATCTCAGGGAGTTTCCTTTGAATTCCTTCTATGAGGACAAAACGACTCGCAGACGCTAATTACCATTTTATCATCATCTCTGCACAGTCAGCCACACCAACGGCTATTTACATGTAAACAAATTAGGGCAGTTGGACTTTTTTTTTTTTTATGGGCTTCATGTTTACATGTGAAAAGAAATGCGAGGATACTTTTACGTAATGACGGGTGGATCCACTTACAAATCACCATACATTACCATAGCATGCTAACCCAGGGCATGTTTATTAAAGCTAGTCACTCTTTCTTTTAGGAAACAAAAGAAGAGTGTGTGAAATCATGAAAAAAGGCTTTTGTGTGTGTGTGTGTGTGTGTGTGTGTGTGGCATTCCTACGGGAGAAGAGTTTCCTGTCCTTGTCACACAGGTTAGGAAGGTTATCAGTAGCTCTTACAGTGGAGAGAGCAGACACTCAACACACACTTCACGTACTACAATTAGACTGACCGATAGCTACACACACACACACACACACACACACACACGTGACTTTAAAGGAATGTTCTTGGGTTCAACACAACTTCAGTATTTGTGGCACAGAAAATAGTAGGCTTTGTCTGTTTGTTCTTTTCTCTTAACTTGGATCGACAGAAACACATTACACAAAAGGTCAAAACTTTGAGTTTTGTATAAGATTTTGTTAATGTTTCTGAAATGCTCGGCCAGGCTTCATTTATTTGATCAAAAATACAGTTCAATTGTAAAATATTATTACTATTTAAAATAACTGTTTTCTATTTGAATACATTTTAATATGTAATGTATTCCTGTGATCAAAGCTGTATTTTCAGCATCATTGCTCCAGTCTTCAGTGTCACGTGATCCTTCAGAAATCAACATTTCTTGTTATTATCAATGTTGAAAACAGTTGAGCCGTTTCATATTTGTGTGGAAAACGTGATTTTGACTTGACTTGACCATTTCCGAACATTATAACAGTCATTTCTAATCAATTCAATGCAGCTTTACTGAATATAAGTATTCATTTCTTTAAAAAAATAAAGTTAAAATCTTACTGACCCCAAACTTTTGAACTGTACTAACAAGGAAAGTAAGCCGGGCCAGTGATCCAGAGGGTTTTGAAAACAGAAATTTGAGGGTTGTATTCATTTACATTAATTATTCAGTAAAACGTTGCCTAAATGTCTATGCAGATGAACTCCTGGTTATGCATTAGCAATGTCATTTGTGTGCGTTTCCTTTCAGTTTGTTTTTAAACGGCCCTTTACGGTGCATTTAATTCAAGTCAGAATGATCATATTTACTAGTTGACATAAACATCAATTACTAGTGGGAAACTCAGGCTTTCTTTAAAGCTCAGGCTTTTAGAGCGGTCATGGCGTGTCGTTTTTAAAGATTCGCGATGGAAGCAAATTGCAATTGATCACAATCATTTTCATCAATTGTTGGCAGCAAAATGTATGCATTTCTACACATTTTATGTGCTAAATCCATTCAGCTTGTTTATGAGGAGACACTTGTCAAATCAAACTACATTTCTAATGATTCTCTACAGCAAAACTATAATGTTAAAACACACAGCAGTTGCACACATAATGTGCCGCCTCTCCACTTCATTAGGTTGCATTAGCGCTAAAAAGCTTCCTGGTTTTGTCAAACAGTAAAAATAGAGAGCGAGAGAAATATGATAGTTGTCCTGTCAGTCCACGTATAAATGTCTTGTGGTTATACTTTCAAAGCGGTGTATTTTAATGTTCATTGTAAGTGCAGCTGCAATTTCAAATTTCACAGATAAAATGTTTTTCCGGTAACACAAATGCTGTCGATTGAGTTTAAGTTGATTTCTTTCACGTCCTTCAACCCAAAACAAAACACAGACATACCGTTGCTGAGTTTTTTTTTGTTCGTTTTTTCAGGTACACAATACATACACACATCGGAAAAAACAATGAACAAAAGTACCAAAACATCCTCCAGATGCAAAAGAAAGTTTTTTGCATAGGTAGATATTTGTCAGTTTATCGTAGACACCGTCACAGTAGACTTGATTGGAAGAATAGACAGAGCAGAGACAGACAGAGAGAGGTGTTGCGGATCAGAGGAGAGAATGAAAGGGTTGAATGAAAGATAAAACATCTTACGAAACCGAGACAGAGTAAACAGAGACGAACAATGACGAAGGGGAAAAACAGGTGGACCCAGAGAGAAGAAAGCAAGCAAGCAGAGGTACAGGAGAGAAGGAGTCTGTTGACATGGTCACGCTGGTCTGCTTTAACCACTGAACTCTCTGCTGAGACCCGACACACAACTAGAAGAATACTGTCCTTTATCACCACATTCACACCTTCTCTCTCTCTCTTACGCCCTCAGTGTCAGCGTGACAGAACAGCGTTTAGTCAAACTCACACTCACTGCTAGCAAACACACAAGTACACACTGTAAAAAAGTGCTATTGAGACAGATCAAAGCGAATTGTCTTAGGGTGTGTTCACACTTGTCACGTTTGGTTGGATTAGAACGAACCTGGTGCGATTGCTCTGTTAGTGCGGTTCATTTGAATAAGTGTGAACGCTGATATCTGAACCCTGGTGCCGCCAAACAAGCGGACCGAGACGCTGAAAAGATGAGTCTCAGGGTGTATTCACACCAGGAAAGTCCGATAGTTCGCTTGCTTTGGTCTGGACCAAATAAAAAAATTTTTTGGTACGGTTCGCTTTCACACTGCTCTTTTTGCAAGTGAACCAAAATTTGTAAACAAAACCACACGTGTGCTAAGGTCGTCCATTCATTGGACAAGGATTCTCAAGTAGGGAAATCAGGAAGTGCAAAAAAGGTTTAACGTAAATTAACACAGCATCATCCATGTATTGTAACTATCGTTCATTATATGAACTGCAAATGCTTTTTTTGCATCTATGCGCGATTAGACTAAAGGGAACGCTCTGTGTGTGAATGTCCTGATGCACACACACATTCATTCATTCCATTCCAATGACGCACAAACGACGCGCAGAAAGACGCGCAACAGATGTAATGTAGTAGGCATAGACAGTAAAAGAAATGGACACAGTGACCCCATAGATTTCAACGGAGAAATATATGCACGGATGAATT